ATCTGAAGGCAAGAATGTTGCCCTTTATCAGGTGGCCTTCCTGACCCCTGGGAAAATGCCACTGCCAGTACAGGACCTTCAGAAAGCCATTGGCCTCTGTTCTTGGTAGTGTAGCCATCCTAAGACAGGTGTAACCTCCTTACTTAGAAAGGAAGTGTTCCTGTTTGCTCGAGGGACATCAGCCACAGCTACATGACACGCTGACCCATGGTCGCTCTTTCATGTTTCATCAGAACTTTGATTTCAGAACCATTTCTGCCAGAGTTGGAGAGGAAAGTGGTGGCTGTGAAGCTGTTCCCAGGCTTAGCATGGAGGTGTGCTCCGGGCTGGCCACGGCAGGCCAGGCCCTGCAAAGCCAATCAAAACAACTCGTGTTGCTTTGAGTTGATGCAAATGGTGCAGCTTGTTTCATGAAAGTTTTGAAGAAGGACCTCCCCTTCTTTGTGACCTGCTAAGTGTAGTCCTTTCTGATCATGCCTTTATATATTGTGTATTTTGCTTAATTGGGTTATTCCTGGGGAACAGCACTTCCTAGCACTTCTTTCTAGATCTACAATCCCACATTTGGACCTATTGACATATTGTAGGTCATAGGTGGTCTTTGAGTGGTGGTGGTTTTTGCAGCCATAAGCAATAATCAGTAGGTACTGTTCCCTTTCCTTAGATCAGAACAGTATTCTTACTTTGGGCACGTGAAGATTCCGCTGGTGACCCTTTGCTCTAATCTGATTCATGGGAAATCAGAGCTCCAAGTATCAGAGATAAGAATAGGCTGGTCTCTGTGAGGTTTAGTGGAAACTTTTTAAGGGTGGCACACAGAAATCCAGATCTTACCAGTCTTAGAAATCTAATGTGTAGTTTGATTAAAAGTAAATATCCAAGAACCAGACCATTATTCTAGATTTTAAACAGTTAAGCCTTTTCATTTTTCTTAACTCATTTAGTTATTAAAGCATATTAGTTCATACACTTAAGGCACATTACTATATCTTCTGCTACCTGTCAAATCCCTGAGTGCTGTATTCCAAGAAAAAGAGCAGAACCTGAAAAAAAATGAGCCAGTTTGATTTGTTCAAAAATCTACAGGAGAGAAATCCTGCGTTTTGATAATAAAGGTTGATTTTCTTTTTTGTAGGTGTTGTCCCTTTGTGGGATGGGGTTTGCGTGAAAGCTAGAAAACCCTTTTTAAACCAAACCTATAGCACATTGACTCACCTGGTTCTGTGGTAGGAAGTCTGGAACTGTACGACATACCATGAATGTAGTTGCTTGTTTCAGTCCTTAAACCATGTAGGAATTTTTGGGCAGCAATATAGTCTTCAGGGTGTTGTTACTTCTCTTCTGGTTATTCTGTATCACTTACAAGCCTTTATTTCATGCAGTAGAATAGCAGCTTCATAAAATTCTGGCGTATTTTTCCCTACGTAATACTACCGTACTCATAAAGACAGACAGTTTGCCAGAAGTCACTGAAATAGAGATGGAGTCCTTTATGTGCTTGAATAATGTCTTTTAAATTGAAAAATGAATAAACGCTCCACTGAAATGAAATAGAATTGTCTCTGGAAGGTGTGTCGGAGGAATGCTACGTAGAGCTTGTGTTGGACTGGAGCGCTCTCTGGTCTTGGTGGGGATAAGAGGTGTTTTCTTGCCTAGAAGCTTTCTGCCGCTTCTGTCTCCACCACTGGCTGTGCCAGCAGTGGCCCTGACGCGGACACTTTAATCCCTGCTTAGGGATTCCCAGAAGGCGGAGTTTTGCATAATAAGTAGTCTTCTGTTAAGGTATTTGTGTGTTCCCGTTTTGGGTATGTACTCCTCTGTCTCCCACTACCCCTCCATCCTGAGGAAGCCCAGTAATACCTGCTCTGGAGCTCTGGTAAACATCGCAAAGACACCTGAGGAAACACTGATTCTTTGGAATATTCTTGCTCAGATGATTTATTTATTCACAGTAGTGGAATATTAATGGTGTCACATGAATGCCTGTGGACACTTGGTGAAGGCTGAGAATCCATTTGTCATTTTGTATTTCTAGTGTATGATCCAGAACAACAGCTTAAGATAAGAAGTTTGCTTTCTGCCCCTGTAGAAGTCCCAGGGCTGGCATTCCAAGGCTGGTGCAGTAGCTCTGTTGGTACGAGATCTCTGGATCCTTTTGTCTTTTTCTTTTGCCTCTCTTAGCAGGTGGGCTGCTGTCCTTAAGCCTCCCTCAAGGTTAGTAATAGGTGCTGCAGCTCCAGCCATCTCCACCAAGTTCTTGGCAGCAGGGAGGAAAAAGAGGCAAAGAAGAATGAGCACATTCCACCTCCTAAATATCTTTCTTTCCTCGAAGCCCCCTCAATGGTTTTTACTTCTGTATATTAGCCACTCCTATTTGTAGGCAAGGCTGGGAAGTGCAGTGTCATAGCTGGGGTTTGGCCATTCCTGACTATTGGGGATTGGCTGTCAAGGAGGGGCCATTGGACTTCGAGGAGGCAGCTATCAGTTTCTGCCATGCCTCTGATCTAGATCTTTCTAAAACATGTCATACCAGATCATATGCTCTGTATGTTTCTTGACTTATGTTAATTATAAGGGGTAAAACTTAGAGGAAATACGTATAAGGAATTCTTGCTGGCCTCTGTAGAATGTGAAATGTGACTTTTGAGGTACTGATTTTCAGTCCTAAGAGAAGCTGCACTCCCAAAGATTAGCAAAACATCTTCTGATGCCAGCTGGAATAAAATGTGTGAATAATCTGTCTTCAAATAAGATTTATGTGTGTGTGTTATATAAATCACATATATGCTACAATATCAATTAGAGACAAAGGTAATTTGTAATAAAATGTCTTTTAGTCTATAAATGCCTAAGTATATGCACAATAGAAGAAGAAATTAGATATTCAGATTGTTATCTATGCTGGCCATAGATAAAAAACTGTTGTGAATATAGCAAATGCAGACTGGACACATGTTATACTGGTAACTACAATATTGGCATTATCGCGCTATAACTTTGGAATGGTAAGCGGCTTTTATAAAGTTCCAAAGAAAACCAAGCACTGCCTATTAACGAGATTTGTTTTGATTAACATGGTAATTGCATTCCTGGAAAAATCAGTGTATGTTAGAGTGGTCCAAAAAAGAAGGAGAAGGAGGAGGAGGGGGAGGGAGGGAGAGGAGGAGGAGGAGGAAGAGGAGAAGAAAGAAGAAAGAAGAAGGAGGAGAAGAAAGAACCTTCATGAGTATATGTTAAATGGAGCCTAGCCCCGATAATGAGTGGGACAGGTCTTCATTTAGAGGTGACATCCTGCCTCTTTGGATCCTTCACAGTGAGTCCCTTCCTCAGAATCCATCATGGTGCCTCCCTCTCCAAAGTCATTGTATCAAAAATGTCCATGCAAATTTTAGTGACTCCTGGGGCTGGGGACAAAGGCCTGTTTTTAGAAGACTTACATTACCAGTTTTTGTTTTTACATGTGCCTGATACTAAGTGGTTTAGTTGGTTCTTTTTTACCTGTCATCTTTGGTTATGTCTCGTTGACTGGTTTCTGCTGAAGTTTTGCTATCTTGATACGTTAGATCAGTTTCACTCTATGAAGGCTGACAACCGGCCTTCATGAGGAATAGTCAGCACCTCCAACCGAGGTCTCAAAATCAGGTCTTAGAAATCAAACACGTTTCCATTCCAGCACAACTTGTAAGCGGATGAAAGGAAATTCATAGGCCTCATGCTGGCCACCATGTTCTGGGTGGCCAGGAGCTTCCTGTGTGGGTCTGTCCCATCTACCTCCTCCTTTGAACCCTGCTTGTATCTGTTAACAAAGCTCTGGTCTGCTGCTTCTCCTAGTAGAAACCATTGAGGCTTTCAGATTCAGAAGTATCTGAGCAGAGAGACCATGCTGATGAGGACTTACGTGAAAAACCCCCTGAAGCACAGCCTTGTTACTTCGTGTGCCGCGTGTCCTTCTTACTGTCTGATCTCATATTTTTTCTACCACATCTGACATAGTCATTCATAAGTCTTAAGAACCACTTAAATTTGAAAAATACATAGTGCTTTTCTTTCCACATTCCACTTTTATCTTTGCTTATTTCCTTGGTTTGTCTGAATGCTTTCACTTAATTGTAATTTGGTAGTTAGCTGCCATAATATAGAAATAACATTGAAATCCCTTTTAAAAATAGTATTTTAATTAAAATATCTTTTAAGCTCATGAATCAAATAAAAACAGCATTTTAAAAGTTTTATTCTGGGGGCGCCTGGGTGGCTCAGTCGGTTGGGCGTCTGACTTCGGCTCAGGTCATGATCTCGCGGTCCGTGAGTTCGAGCCCCACGTCGGGCTCTGTGCTGATAGCTCAGAGCCTGGACCCTGTTTCAGATTCTGTGTCTCCCTCTCTCTCTGACCTTCCCCCATTCATGCTCTGTCTCAAAAATGAATAAACGTTAAAAAAAATAAAATAAAAGTTTTATTCTGTGAAGTAAAATTGCTATCCAGCTACGTCAGAAAGTTTAAGTACATATTTTTTGCCAAGGGCTAGATTATGGATAAATCTTTTTAACTGAAGTTTCAAGATTCTGTGTTAAAACTTTGCTCGACTGTGATTGTTTAATTCTAACATAACCTCTCAAGAGAAAATTACTAATTTAAAATTTTAATTTCGAGATAACCCAGCAATGCAATTTACATCAACTGACTTATACCATTTAAGGCAAAATAGTATGTTTATTCATCAAGAATGGCATCTCCTAGAATGTTGTATGGAAATGACCATTCTTTTATGTCAAGTCCGTGTTCTACCACGTTTGGTCCTGCAGCATCATCGTTGCAGGACTGATGGATTTACTTTAAATTTTATTTTGTTCTGTACAAAACATGCCAGTGAGTAACACGACGGTCTACCTTTGCGTGTTGAGTGTACGCGAGGGTGTCCGCACCCGCACCCGGGACGGGGCTGGGCTCGTGGCCTGGGGAAAGCCGCGAACCTTGGATAATCGCCCGTGTGTTTCGTGGGCAGGTGAGCCAGGACGGGAAGTCGCTCCTCGACAAGCTCCAGCGGCCGCTGACTCCCGGCAGCTCCGACTCCCTGACGGCCTCCGCCAACTACTCCAAGGCGGTGCACCACGTCCTCGACATCATCCACGAGGTGCTGCACCACCAGCGGCAGCTCGAAAACATCTGGCAGCACCGCAAGGTCCGGCTGCACCAGCGGCTGCAGCTCTGTGTCTTCCAGCAGGACGTGCAGCAGGTCAGTTTCAGGTCGTGCTCTTCCGCGTGGGGGGACACGTGGGGGAGTCCCTGCGAGTGCACGTCCTGCTGGGCGTGTCCGTGCTGACAGGGTGCCGAGCCGCTACAGACGGGAGGTGGAAGGAAAAGGGTGCACACGCGCGTGCGCACACGCGCACACCGCCGCTTTTCTCTCCACGAGCGGCCGTGGTTTTGAGAAGGCTCGCTCGGGCTTCTGCCAGCCACCGTCTGACGTCCGCAGAACGTGCGAGGTGGGGCGGGGCCTCGGCTGGAGACTCCCACGGGTGTTCTCGAAACAGGTCATTTCCAGTTCCTTTTATTTGTGAGAATAATGCCGGTGGCGCTTTACACCCGGATGCCGGCACGGTTGAGGATTTGTCCGCTCTCTGATGACCTAGGCAGAAAGCTAACGGTGCCTCTCTTCCCGCTTGGTAGATGGTGCGCTTCAGGGTACACAGTATGTGCTCAATAAATAGTTGTCTAGTTGAGGGAAAGTGGAGTTTTAGGACTGTTAATTTCTAAGCAGTTTTCACCTTTTTTGTTGTTATTGTTACAAAAATAACAGTAAGTCTAGTCCCCACACTGGTTGTGCCCTTGTTGTGTAGTAAAGAGGATCGTGCTGCTTCAGGGTTTTGAGAGTTAAAGCTGTGGTGGCATATAAAATATGATACGGCTTTAGAGATGAACAAGATAAACGCTGTGTCCTTGCCCTAAAACCGAGGGAAGCCAGGGTGTGGATGAGGTGTGGACACGGGGGTTGAGGACTTCGGAGGCACGCGAGGAAGCCTGTGGCATTCAGCAGAGTTGGTGTGATGCCACAGCGATGGGTCTGGAGCAAAACCTCCCTCTCTTCCCTGGGCCCCCGGGAGCGTTGCTCAGACACGTACAGGCTCAGATTTCACTCCTCCCAAGCGTCGTCCGAAGGCCAGTGGGCTGAGGTGGTGGAAAGTCGTGCTGTGTTCTCATGAACACGTAGATTCTCCATGTTTTATTGACCATCGTTCTTCATGTTATGTGAGTCTGGTGAGTTCAGAATACTTTCAATTGCTCTATAATTGAAAATTTTCACATACAACGCTTTGATTCCACTTATGGGTTTTGAGTTCCCTGAAGATTGCATATACCAAGTCTCAGAAACGATCACTTTGATGTTATTCATGCTTCTTGCCAGTGTTATTTTAATCAAAGAGGATAATTGCCAGGGAAAGAATTTAGAGCGAGGAGTGAATAGGGAGGAGTCAATGTCAGGGACTTCTTTGTGCGAACTGAGGTGCTGTGGTCAAAGCATAAATATTAGCTTCTCCTAATTGTTTAGAAACATTCACCTACCGTGAAATGTTAATAGTTTAAATGTAATCATTAAAGGATTTTCCCCACTCACCTCTCTGTCCCTTGGATCAGGTATTCGTTACCCATCCATGGACCAACATACCTTCCCTGAAGCAGCCCCAGGGGCTCTCCCTCCCGTGTCATCCCCAGCTCTGGTGGCTCCGTGGGGCACCAGGCACCTGAGAATAGGCCCCTGGACGGTTTATGGTGGGGGATTTGGGAGGCCCCTTTGGGAAGAGGCTGAGGAGTGTAGCCATCTGATTCGGCACCAGGTACCTGATGCCCTTGAATCTGAAAACAGCAAACATTAAATCTTCTATGTAGAAAGGTAATTATGATAATTATGAGACCAGTTCTTTAAGCTAGATTTTTTTTCTCCAGCGTCAGTAGATTGGGTTGGATGTCAGCAGGGGAAAGTGTTTTGCAATACACATAAGGCATATGTAGTCCTATTAGCATTCCATAGAAAATAGGTAATTGCTCTTTAAGGGAAACGTTCTTTTGATAAAATGATCTGGAATGGTCTGGACTTGTTATGCAAACAGGAAATTGCTGTGTAGGCTTGACTTGTGGAGCACGAAGTAGAGTTGATAAGATTAAGCAAAGCAAGCACTTTTACCTGGAAGGAGTTGTATGATGTCAGAACCAGAAATGTGTTTCTGAAATTCCAGCAGTTACAACACGTGGACATTGTTGCTATATTGAGCAAACAGTAGGAGAGGTAAGCTGAGAATAAATGGGAAAAAAATAGTAGTCCTTTAGAAGGCGTTGTCAGCAGAAGGTAAATGTGTAAAGATGAAAAACAAAATCCGTAAAAGCATAAGCCAGTTAGCTACCACAAGTGGTTTTTGCTTGGTTGTTTTGAGTGATGAAAAAGCATCTGTAAATACTGCTGAGAGATAAAAAGAGCAGCTAACTGCACAATAGGTGTGGAATGATGCTATCTTTTTATGGAAACAATCCTCTAAAACAACCCTTTGAAAGAGTTTGGAAAATATTTGAAACAGAAACCAGACTGTCAACAGCGTGTTCTCAAGGAAGGGCAGGGGGACAGTGGGCATGGGGAGTTTGGTCTTTAAAACATGAATAATTTTGGGTTAGTGGCCAGCTGTTTTTGTAATAAGCCAAGGGAATTGGGTAATGCCTGTATGGAAGGTGTTTCAGGTACCCAGGCGCCGAGGTGCGGGGAGGTGAAGCTACCGTAGCCTGGCCCCCACCACTTGTCCAGTCAGAGAATGGAGGAGAGGGCTAGGGTGAGGTCAGATGCACATGCTAGCTGCTGACAGGGAGAAACCTTTGTCATTATTAACCTAAAAATAAAAGAAGGGGCACCTAGGTGGCTCAGTCGGTCGAGCATCTGTCTCTTGATTTTGGCTCAGGTCACGATCCCAGGGTATCCAGCCTCACATCAGGCCCCACATCACTGAGTGGGGAGCCTGCTTAAGGTTCTCTTTCTCTCTCTCTCTCTCTCTCTCTCTCTTTCTCTCTCTCTCTCTCTTTCCTGCTGCCCCTGTCCCCCACTCACACTCTCTCAATCTCTCTCTCTCAAAATTAAATGAAAAATGAAATCAGTACTCGGCCACATTTCATGATGATCAAGTAACACATGTATTCTGTCGCCTCACGTTTCCCATTAGAGTGACCCTCAGGATGGTTGGTTGATGGATGGTTGTGTTACTGCTGACCAGTGTTCTTAAGGGTCGGGTACGCTTTAGTTTGCTCTAAACAAGGTCGTTTTTGCTGTGTTTGTTCAAATGGGATGTTGCTTGTGGAAGGATGTGGTGTGCTCTCACCCCCCTTGTCCTGCTCACTGTCACCCCGCCTGCCTTTTGGATTGGTGTCATTTAGCGACTCCAACAAGTTGGATGAGGTGAATGGGCCCAGAACTTTCCTGAAGCAGGCTGTCCTCCCCAGAGAGGCCCCGGAGGTGGAGACATCTCCTAAAAAACTGCCTGCTCCCGTCCACGTGGTCAGTAGCCCTTTCTGTGTGTTGTGTGAGCATTACCCCCTCTGAGTTATTTCTTGGAAGAACTCCCTGCAGGTTGATGTGGGGCCATTAGTGAATATTCTGAGAAAACGATGAAGCAAGTCTAGTCTCTTCTGGATTCTTGTCATCCACATTTCATTCTTCTTTTCAAAATCTCTTAATCTAACACGTGACACTCAGAGATACAGAGGTAACTGTTGGATGGGTTGAAGCTCCTTTTCTTGAGGAATCGTAGTCCAGTGAGAGCCGACCTTTTGGTAGCCTGATAGATCATATCATAGCATGCTCAGATTTAGTGTCGTGTGTCTGGTTATCGTCAGGTGTAATTTTGCTAAGGCGTAAATGTGAGTCCTGCCAACGAAAGTGTTAGCTGGAGTGGGGAGTAAATACAGCTAGCCACCCTCATGCATGTTATCTGCCTGCCTTGCACTTGCATTTTAAGGGTGAATGTCTATGCTTTAATGATTCGTGCAGATGTGGGGGTTCCAGGGAGCTTTGTCCATGTCTGTCTCAAACGTCAAGGGTCTGGCATAGAGGCAAGATGAAGAGTCCTGTAATAGAGATGCGAGTAACCGTTGCCTGGGTACCATGACAGTCTTCACGGGAGAGGTGGGGTTTGAGCTGATCCTTGAAGGATGGGTTAGAAAGTCCGTAGGCCGAGGGTTGGGCAGCGGGAACTGCAGTGAGATCAGAGATGTAGAAGGGCATGGCCTGTGCAGAGAGCAGCTGGGTGTGGGTGGAGTGGAGTGGTGTGGAGGTGTGAGAAGGGGCAGGTGCTGGAAAGGTGACCTCATGATGACAGCTTGGGACTTGTTTCTGTAAGCTGTGGGACGCCAGTGAAGGGATACAGTGGACCTTGGCTGACTGCTGTAAATTGATGCCAGGGCCTGAAGTGACTTGTGAGTGGCCGTGAGGCTTACGCGAGGGACACCTGTGTGTCTTTCCCCTCTTACTGCTCACAGCCGCCTGTTGAGCTAATGCTCTCCCCGCTTCACTGAGTTCACAGCAGGAAGGGCCCATGTGCTGTGCACTTGAACTTGATGCTGTGGGCAGTGGGGGGTGGATGACACGATCCTGCATGTGTTAGAAAGATCGGCCTGGTTGCAGTGTGGTGAGCAAGTTGGAGGGAGCGAGACTCCAGTTGAGGGACAGGGTAGGTCCTATTGTGGACATCCAAGCAAGTCACGGAGAACTCCTAGCGAGCAGAAGTGTAAAGTCCATGGGCCAGCGATCTACATTTTATTCACTGGTGTTTCCTAAGTGTCTGGGATACAGTTTGGTATTTGTTGAATGAGTGAATGAGTGGGCAGATGAAGAAACTTAAGGAATTACCCAGTTTTGCTAATTAAAGATTCTTTGGGGTTAAAAGTTTGTTCATTTATTCTGGAACGGGTGAGGATTGGCCTTATATTGGAACCAAGTGATCTAACCAGAAGATCTGCTTGAAGGAGCAGGAGCTTTGCTTGATAGTGAGAACTTGGGAGTGGCTGAGGAAGTACATGGGAATTCTGCTAATGTGGTGAGGTCTCCAGTAAAGATTTTGGCCACTTGAATGCAAAATGGGGATCTTGAATGCAGCAAGGTGGGGAAATCAGGACATGCCATAAAGACAAAGAAAGAGGTTTCAGGTCTGCAGAGAAGCTATTTTACTGGTTTGCCTTGGGTCTTTGGCTGCTATCCTTCTG